AAATATACATGATTCAAGATGCAAAAAAATAAAAGTAAAAATTTATAATAAATGACATAAAAGGAAATAGTTGTTTAAAAAATTACTTGTTTCCAAGGATGGAATGGAGATTGAGAATTGTTTGCTCTTCTTCCTGGGAAAATTTCCCTCTCTTAATATCAGGCCTCAAATAATTCGTCCACCGCAGCCTGCAACTCTTCCCACACCGATTAAGACCTGGAAAATAACCAAGAAACAATAATCTCAGGATAGAGAGAAAGAAAGTGGAGGAGACTTGCAGGTGTTATACAGTAGCTTCAATTTTATACCAGCAAGCTTGGGAAGGGCTCTCCAGCTTCCATGGCCATTTTCTTGGATATATTTGACAAGCTTCTGGTCTTCTTCAGGAGTCCAAGGACCTTTCTTAAGGCCACTTTCATCACAACAAGGTGACCTTCCCATTTCAATACCTTCGTTTTCTTTCCTTAAGACTTGGCAGCTGCCTCCCTCCAATCTAACCATTAGCTGCAGGTTGCTATATTTATAGAGTTTCTGTTCCCTAATAAAGCAGACGTGCTGGTTTCCTATTTGTTGGAAAAACAAGATTGCCATTTTCCTTCTTAAATCTCAACCATACCCTTGTCATTGGTCAAATGAGTTTTCCTCTTCTTTTTTTTCCTGTAAATGATTTTATTTTAGTTTGACCTAATTGTGTCTTCAGTTTTCCAAGTGGACCCTCAATTTTTTGCTCATAAATAACTTCACACATGAATGGCGACCCACAAACATATTACAGCCGAATTGCTTAGAAGGTTGCTATGATCTTGACTCAATCATCATTTTCATGTTTTAATATATATATATACTATAAAGTAAATATATCTGTGGATCTTTTTTCTTTTTGTGTTCAAGGCCTGTATCTTTAATGGGGAAATATTCATTCCCCTGCTTTGAATGAAATCTCTTTTTATGACTTTCAAAAATATATATATATACTATAAAGCAAAGCATCTTTACTGCAATCTTAACAAAATCTTTTTTTGGCTGAGAAAAAAAAATGCAAAGCTTCTCTCATTAGAAATTTCAATGAATTATCTTCGGTGAAATAGAGCCAAGACATTTAGAAAATGTCACATAAACAGGTCAAGAAGAGTGGCTGCTTTCATACCTATTGCATAGATATTCTTCAACCTTCTGAATTTCTAATTCATTACTGTTATGAGTAGGGGTAGAGGGATAACACTTTGAAATCAAGAAATCTTTAATTCAGTTTGAATTAATTGTTTCCTCATAAATGAATCCTAAATCCTAATTCATTAAAGGTGTCAAAGAGAGAAACTTATAATAAAAAAAGTAAACGAGAGTATATGCAAAGGGATATGGACTGCCACTTATTGCATAACTCACCCTTGCACATAAATAAATAATTAATAAATAAATAAACATGTTAGTAATATATTACATTCATGTTTAGAAATTATTTGCCTTTCAAGAAAAATGTTTAGAAATTAGAATAATTAAAGATGTTTAGTAGTTTGCATTTGTAGACGACATAAGCTAACAGAGAATTTAATGTCATATCCCAAAAATTGGCTGGATTTAGCTCTTCAAAAAAAAAATATTCGATTTAAAAGACATATCAAATTGTTTATGTAAAAGATGATTGAATAATAATTCAATCTTAGACAAATATATGAGCATAAAATACATAATTTATACAAATATTCAAAAATGATTCATAATACATCAAAGCATTTAATTCAATCATAAACACACACACACATATATATATATATTTTTATTCAAAATTGAATTAAAATTTTATTTTTCTGAATTGAAAAATCGATAACTTAATCTCGAACAAATATGAGCAGATTATTCTTAAGATATGGACCTAATAAGGTAGTATGGAAGGGCAAAATTGGTAAAGTGAAGACTTGAAGGGGCAATGTAGGGTATTTAAGCAGTAATGAACAAGAATTGGATTAAAATAATGAGAATTATAGTCAAAAATAAATGAACAAGAACTGAAAGCGGCAGTCAGTAGTCAGCATCAAAGGGAACAGGTGGCCCGTCATCCATGATCTTTGAAACCCATTCCATGCACGCAACACAGCCTTTTATTTCGTCATTGATTGCATGGATCATTATACAATTTCACGTATTAATATTTAATATTTAATATTTATGCAGATGGGTCCTGAATTTTTTTGTGCTTATATTTCTAGCAAAGCTTATGCTTACGCACTAGCTAGCCTACATTACTACCCCACTCCGCAGGGTTTTGCTCATCTCCATGGCAGCCTGCCTCCATTTGCTTGATCCTCACCAGGCATATTTTTGTGAGTAATTACCTTCTGCCATATATCCGCATCAAAATCTATAGTGGTCTCTAATTATCAATTGCTTTCCATCACTCTAAATATATATTCCCGAAGCAGAAAAGATGAAAAATGAGTGACAATAATGACTTCTTTTCTCTTTTTGTCTCCTTTTTATCCTCTAAAGGCTCTTCCTAAATAATTAATCTCAAAATAAAATGATGCATTGGTGAATTGGTCATATGGCGGTGAAGGAGCGTAATCAGCATCAGGTGTAAATCGATGATGCATTTACTGATTCCAGTTGCCATCTATAACACATCAATACATCGTTGTTTTTCTTTGAATTGTCTTCTATTGAGCTTTGTGAGCTATATGAGCTGTTGTTCCCAATTTCGGTGCTGTGGCTGGCTTTTGATAAGAGGTCTTTTTCAGTGATAGAGGGTCCTGGGCGAACAATCTCTGGTGTGCCAAAATAGGGAATTCTGATGCTGCAGGAGTTGATCCCATTGAAAAGGAGTGGCTGATTAAGGCCCATGGTATGTAAACCTGCCCCTGGACTCGCTTTAATTCTACACAAAAAGAAATGTTATTCTACTTGACCTCACCAAAATATAAGACAACAATATATAATTCAGAATAAGACGTAACATGGCAATTTTCTTTCTTTTCTAAACATGGACGAAACACGCTTTCTGGAACCAAAGTCTATGAATAACAACATAATGACTATGTTGTTTGAGTATAATTTCCTTACAAAAAAGCAAACCATGGAGAGTATGCATCACATTCGGAAAGTAACTAAAACCACGTGATTATCTAATTATTAATTTCTGTGATTAATTTACACACTATACGTGCATTGCATGGAATAATTTAGCGGCCAAAACCGGTGGCCCGAACAATTAAGTATATATTTCTATGAATAGGAAAAGTTTTCATGGTGTGATGTAATTATAGGGTTAGGGGCATCTGATCATTGTTGTTGTCTCTTTGTATTGCGTAAGATGTTGAGAGTCTGAGCTCTCTCTTCTCTTGCAGATTTTAAGAGTCTCTTTCCACGTGTGCACTGTGATTTTCCACTCTAACCAAACACACCAAGTACGTATCACAGAGTATTGTATGTGTATACATGTGTAGATATGTACGTTTTTGTAAGAACATGTACGACTATGGAAGAAACAAAAACGTCTATATATGCGAAATTTGGAGGCCAATTTAAATGCTTGGAAGTCGGAAAATGATGCATTTTAAAATAATCATCAGGAGCTTGTCATCAGAATCTTTCAGTTTGATAGCCCAAAAAACTTAAAAAGCTAGATAGCGACCGAGTCGATGGTGACCCATTTGACCATAGAGGGAGATGGTTAGAGGAGGGGGTTGCAGCAAACTCTCTAAATTTTCCACCATATTGAGACCCTTAAGACATCTTTCTTTACCCCCTAACAAGAACGCGTCAATGGTATTCGTTGATGTAGTCGTCCTTTTCTTCTTTGTCCTGATTCAAGGAGGAGGGAGGAAGGGGGAGAAAGAGACATGTTGTAAAACTGATTTTACCTTCATTTCTTGCAACAGAGCGATCAATCAAATGTTCTTACAATCGGCATTAATCATGATTTCATAGTAATCGCGTGTAGGTGAATTCCTCATGGAAAAGCATTATATTAATCAAATGTAGAAGAACAAAAAAAATGCAGCAGTTGCACTCTAGGAAGAATGTATCTTCGTGCACATATATAATTTTAGAGCTTGAAAGTATATATATATATATACATATATATATATATGTGTGTGTGTGTGTTTATAATGTGCTTGTATGTGGAGGCCTAAACAGAAATTGCTAGAAGTAGAATATATAGTTAGTCAATTATTCCCTTTGACTTGGTGTTATATACTGTATATTGCATGCAAATACGCAAATATTCCATCTATTTATTTGTCAACCTCTTTGTGGTCTTATGGATATCTTTTTCTTACCTTTTCGTGTAGAGGCATGAAGCATATTTCTCAATCTTTAATCAGAAAAAGAAAGCTGCATCAGTTATACCCCTTTTTTTTTTCTTAGCTGTCTATAATAAACTATCATTATCAATGGATTACAATTCAAAGATTTTCATTTATCAAATTCCAGATGACAGAAATAGAAGTAAAGAGGAAGATAAGTCCTTTAGTCAATGGGTTGATACATACTAAAAATGGGACAAATTAATTAATGAATCATGGAAATTCATATCATGAAACTGAAGAAGTACTAATCCATGCAAATTATAATGCACGGAATGATTTTGGAAGGCAAGAACAAAAATGGCACACCAAACAGAAAAAAGTAACCACAAAAAAAATCTTCTGATCTAACCGTATTTAAATGTCATATATATTTATAAGTTCAACATAAAACAAACCATATACACTGCTGCAGATGTAATTATCAATGGCTGCTCTGGGTATATAAGCCAATAGATAAGAGTCTAGTTTGTCCAAAATCACTAATTTCTTACTTGGTAAGCTAGCTATTTCTAACTTAAACTCGTTATAAAGCATCACATCAATGGCCACCGAGATTCAAACTAACAAGAAGGAGAATTGAGAACACCATGTCCTCTCTCTCCACCTTTTTTCTCCTTCACTTAGCTCATGTTTTGTCGGCACACGTTTTACCCATAAAAGAAACCGAGATTTTTGTTCATTGAAAGGGGAAAAACATATTAACACCTTCTTCAAGAAAAACTAACAGAAGATTTTTTAGAGGGAAACAGAGAGATTACTTCTTCAACCAGGGTTCCTTGTCGGGTGGACCAGACCCTCACATCAAAAGGAAGCAGGTTTAAATAAAGAATTTAGAAAGTAAGAGATGTCACCTAAACAGCTTATTATTTTATCATTAGAAAAAATCATATTTGTAATGTCAGCTAAACAACTGATTTGCTTCCCCAGTTAAGTTTCTACCCAATATATCTAAACTCGGACTTTCTACACTTCCTTTGCCACGTAGATGTATTCGGGTCTTTCCATCTCCATGCAAAAAGAAAACAACATTATATAATGCTGGTTTTAAGCAAACATTAAATATAGATCAAAACACTCACTAGAGATGGACAACAGGAAAGTTCTTTAAAATGGATTTATTTTCAAAGCATTAGCGACAGCAATCTTTCTTTCTACTGCTCTTTCATCACCTTAGTTTATTATAATTCTAGTATACGACCAAATGAAATGATTGATGTTGAGTATGAACATGAAGGTTGACTCAGAAAACACACCTGGGCTTCCAATAGCTTTATCGACCTAATTTGTTGCAACCTGCCATGGAGGTTCCATTCAGCATCTTCTGATATATGATTTCCTAACATGAGCTGCTAATCAATGATCCTGATGATCTGTTGGTCAAAGCGAATAAAACAAACTGGAAATGAAATTATTGCAGTGCACCTTCATCCCTGCAATAAAAGCCACATAGAAAATTAACATTTATAGTTTAATGCCTCTCAGCATTGTTAATTAAGTGCTCTATTAAACAATTAAAAGAACTGTGATAGAGTGGTCACCAGAAACAGTTAGTAAGAAATACTTCTATTACGTCCAGTACACGTGAATTGTGTTTGCGAGCGTTCATGGCACACCAACTTCACCCTTTTCAACTATTCACAGCCCAACAACCCTAATAGAAAGCAGAAAAAAATTGAAGTGGGGTCTGAAAATCTATGCTAATTTCATCATATCTTCACCATTTCAATGATAATTACGTGTAGAAAGGTTCACTTTCCTTAAGACGTTCATGGATTGCATCCTATTGGTTTTGACACAAATGCATTCACAGTTATTACTGTAATATATAAGGGTTTTGTATTACTTTATGACAGAGACTCACTAAGACTATGATTTCTTCTGAAATGGCACAAAAAACCTAGGGTCATTGGTCCATAATTTTAATCAACATTTTTAAAGCTTCTTGATTACTAGTTGTTCTCATTGCTACTAAAGAATATACAGTTTTCTCAACCGTTATGCCCAACTTATTGGATTAGGAATAATTATGAATTGATCTAGATGCGATGATCGATCCCTACACAATATAACATATATAATCTGACAAATATTTATGATAAAGCATCGGTGGTAATGTTTTGGAAGTCTTGGGATCTTTATATCATTGTTAGCCATCAACTACCATGTATGATTTGTTGGCTTAACTCTCATCGGCAATGACATCATATTCACAGCTAAGGACAGTGAAAGAAAATGAGAGTGAAGGTTGATTAGAACATGTTATAAAACCATATATAAAACATAACAACTTTGCAGGAATAATCTTAAATTTGTAGCTAGTTCAAATATTCCATTAGTTAATTAATTTCTAATTAAGAAAAAAGCTTTCAAGTTTGTAGATCAGAAATCTTGTTGACAGATTGATATAAAACAAGACAAATGTGTTAGCATGGGAAGCACCAAAATAAGCAAGCAAGTTTTATTAGTACAAATTACATTGCTAAGGAATTTAATCATCTAAAATTCATGTTATATATACATATGCAGGAAAAGTAACAACAAAACAAGCTGAGCATTATTAGTAATTGTAATATTAATTAATTGAACTGCAATAATATATAGTATATATACGTAGCAATAAATATAAAAACACATATTTTATCATAGAAAAGCAATACTATACAACTGACACATATTTTAGACGCACAGTATAACGTTTACATTGAGATCGAGTTGGTACTCATAGGAATCAACAATAGTTTAAAAAGATGAGTGGCATCCACATGATTTGATAACTTCAAGTTCCTTTAGTAAACTTACTCTATTGTCTCCTATATCAGCATGCATCCAGTATTGGTGAAAGTCTTTCATGTCTACAAACTAGCTAGTTTTTGAGCCTTCTTTTCATCAATTGCCACTACTATGAACTGTAGTTCATTAAGTAACACAATATTTTGAGCGAAAAAAAAGTAACACAATATTCCTTCATTTCTTTGTTCTTTTTGAGATCCAGATTTGTGTTTGTGTTTGTGTGGTGTAACCAGAGAATTGTTAACAACATAATGTGCTTAGCTACTGTAAATCCAAAACCAAGGTTTTTAACAATTTAGTGAAGAACTGAAGAATGTATCAGTATGTTTTACCCCTTGTTTTCTTCTAAAGGCTAAGATTTCATTGAATTATTAGATCTACAAGGGTAGCTAAACAAGCATAGCACCAAGAAGCCCGTACATGTGGTGTGCCTCAAACCATAGCCCTTAGAGAAATCCAAAGTAACCTAACCCAAAAAGCAGAATTCTATATTTTTTTTTTTGATAAGCCATGAAAATATTTCATTAAAACATGGGGGTTACTCAATTCTGTAACCCACCAAAATCAACAAAAGTTTGGCATTTCACCTGTACCCTTTACAAAATATTCTGCTCAAAGCAGTCCCTGTACAAAAACTCCCAAATTCATCCCTATACAAGAAGCATAGTATAGATGCAGAATTTCATATAGACAAGGAGCATATCAAAAGATTCTTTTTCAGAAAGGCTGAAAGTTTTAAACAACTAGCCAGTGTAATAACCTTCATGACCAAGATTATGGTGGACATTGGTCAAAGTTTACACCCAGTAAATTTCTTTAAATATAAGCATTAGTAATTCTTATGGTTCAACATAAAATAAGATATATATCATTTAAAAAAACATAAAATAAGATTGATATATAATACTATCATCAGAAAACTATAATTCTAGTTACTTATAAGATATCAATCTAGTTCATTCATACAATTTTTCCATACACAGTTAAAAACTTTGCCATCTTCTATTAATTAACCAAGTAATTAAGCTATGCATATTCCCTTCATTATAACCAAACATAAAGATTATGAAATGAGAATTGAATAAAGAAAGATAGGACCAAAAAATTGTCAGAGTATTGTATTCTTTGCTTAATCTACGCACTTGTTTTACCTTAATCTTTGCAAAATCTTTTAATGGCTGTTTAGCAATCATCATGTGGGAAATGATTCAGGTTTGATCATAAAAAGGTATTTCATACTCCATAAGAACCCTATGGGTTAGTGAGAAAATTTCTGCATCTGGTATTAAGCCTATATCCAATTTAATTATTTTTAAATACACAATACCTTTACATGGTAGAAGCAGGCCAGTTCATGTGGAATAGAATGAAAAAATATTTAAACAAGATTATGGTACAATATAACGGAAGGTCCAAAGCCGAAAGAAACGGAAGTCGAACTAGCCTCCAAACTTAGTAACTTCAGCGATTTAGAGTACAATAGGATAGCGCTCAATACACCTTATCTTACAGTGAAACAAAATAGGAAGCCTTTTTTCTTTTGGATGCTCTTTTAATAGATTATTGGAGAAGAAGCCTAATATGATTAAACCTGGGCTAGAGGCGCCTGGGCCACATCCAAATTTTATATGGGACACTAGCCCAGGTCCTAAGGCCTAGTATATGGGAAGTTAAGATGAGACTGAGAAAAGATGTTGGGCTCATGCGAGCATTTTAAGTGCATTACAGAAACAAATGCACGGTCAAAAGGTTGGTGGCAACATGATCTGTTTCATTACTAAAGGAAAAGGTATAGAACCCGATTATTTGGATGCTAGTGACCTCAGAAGCAGAAAGTGTGGAAAATGCGATTATCTTGAATTTTTGCATCCTTATCTATAATGAGATTAATACTTATAGTTCAAATTGACAGAATATGCAAAACCGCAATCAGAAGAACCATCCAAGTACCTAACAATTTAGAAGACAAGAACCTTAGTGCATTTGACAGGTTCTTAAGAGCCCTTCTTCTTTGTTACAGACAAATCTGCACTCCAATTTTGTGGCATTTCATCATAAAAATTTCTTGCCCAACCATGCAGTAATTAAGCTAGAACAAGATATTATAGTGCATTAAGCCTATTCTTGAGAAAAAAGTTCAATAGTTGAACCACAACAAACTGAATATAAAGTTAACATACCTCATAAAGCATAGTTCCACACCACCTTAATTTGCTAAAGCGTAGAGACAATGAGATGGAAAAAATTGAAACTAAATGTATGAGAAACCTGCAAATGTGACGTATAAATATTTGTCAAGCAGGAACTAGTCATGAAAGCTGAGAGAGTCAGAGAGGTTGGGTTCATGAAATCTGAGTAGCTAGGATAAAGTACAAGAGAATCCAGTCAAAAGTAGAGATATACGTTGCATGCAAAAGCAGGTCACATGGTTGGAGTAGGAGATGATAAGGAACAGCATCATCAAGATTTGTTTATCGACAGGGAAGCAAGGAAAATCAAATCAAAGCTGAATAAAAAGTGCATGGAGATCACATGGTGGGAGTTAGTAAGGAAGCTTTTTTTTTTTTTTTTTGCGCATTAAATTAAATAGGTAAGAGCTAGCGAGGCTACCACGCGGACACCTATACTAACTTCGGTCTGTTCCCCTTCTGTTGGAAATCCGTGAGCACTAGATCAAGGAACCAGTTCAGTCTGTAAAGACCCATAAGGCCATAAAAGGACCCATGTACAGATAAAAGCTTGGAACTTTATAGTAGAAAGCGGAATCAAACTGCAATGGCGTGAATGGCTTTTAAAAAGATAGCTAAAAGAAGTTATTCCTATTAAAAGAAGGGCTGACAACTAACAGGCAACTGCTGGTGCTCTGCTTATAATCATATTTTATGAGACAAATATACTAGGTAAGAAAGGTAACGATTCATGCAGGATTCAGATGTACAAAAAAGCTTGAAGAAAGGACCAGATCAAAAGGGGAGACTCTTGAGAGTTTAGAATTCATTGCAAAGTAAGTGCCTGTTGCCAACCAATATTGACGATGTTTGAAGAAAAATCAATTTAACATTTGACGAAATACAGGGTTTCATACTGGCATCTGCATAAAATCTTTGATATAGTCTTCCTGGAAACCATTTTCGGTTAGTATAATATAATGGACAGTAACCCTGGATTTTCTAACTTCCAATTACTTAATTCGAATGACTGTAGTAAGAATGGTAAGACGCCCTTGTTCATGATATTGAGAACCGACCATAAAGTCAAAAGTGTCCTTTATCTTTTCGTTGCATGAAATCACATGGTGCCTATAAAATCAACAAGCTACAAGAGTGGACAAGTCAAGCAGAAGAGATACCTGATCCACGGAACAGCAGAAAAGTGCCCAATCTTTAGAATTTGGATCTCAAAAGGAGAAATAGACAAATAGTTGGAAGGCAATTTGTCAATGTCCCTGTCGATTTCGAAACGCCGTTTGCACAATCTACCAATTAAAACGATATACATGGGAAAAAGGCCCGTAATACGTACAATCCATCGATGGGCAACGGCGGCTCTCGAAGCCAAAACCTCAATTGACTACAGGGACAAATCACGAAAACAAAGATGGGGTTTGAATTTGAAATATTTTTGTTTCTAATCACTTGCTTGGGACTTGGACGAACTTGAGGGCCATCTTTTCCTGTTGAAAATCCTCCTCTGTAAAAACATTTATCTAAGTCCAGCCCCATCCCCCTGTAGAAACCGAAGATGTCTCTGACTCTACCTAGGCAGTACGCTCGTTTTCAAACCCTTCACCCAGACACTCGGTGAAGCTAAATTTAAGAGCACCCACTAGGTCCACTTTAGCAAATGCTGACATCACCCAGCCTCAACACGTAAGGTCACTCTGCAAGCAACCGGCTGCTGATCTGGCTCCTGTATAACTCTTCATGCTATTTAAAGAGGAAAACTAAGTCAAATTTTAGCAACTCGCATTACCCTTTAACTTTTCGGTGATTCATGGACTTCCGATTCATTGTCTACAATGAACACATAGAAAATGAAACTACACGGTTTTTCAAACACATAAATCTAGTTCTTGAGAATGAGAAGCCAAATTAATCATCAAAGTTTACATAATATAAAGTAGTTAAGAAACGAAAAGTTGTGGAAAACTTCAAACTAAGAATAAAGTAGTTAATTGTTCTAATGTTCAAAGCACCTTCACAACTTCAAATTCCACGAATGGGACTTTTCTTGAGCACGGGTCCATTAATTGGCAGAGAAATGTAGATCCAAATGTTGAAATAGTTCCCTTTCTCGGAAGCCAGAGCATAAACCTGAAACCAACAGTTACTAATTACTAGCGAGCATTTACTAGGGAGTCATAACTTTGTAGGCAAAGTTTCAACTCCGGAGGCCAAATAGACAACTAAGTCATCAAACAAATGGCGTCAAAGAAGTAAAAGAACTGATAAAGCAGCTTAATGAAGTGCTACTGGAAACCATTTTAAACTATTTCAATCTCATTAAGTTATATGGGGTAAATACACTTCGATTTTTGTACAAAAAAGGCCCTTGATAAACAACTTATTGTGATCGTTTAGATACATGCCTTTCCTCATTTGCAAAGTGCAGCGCATTGCGCCCATGCTTCAAATCCCTGGAACTGATCATGAAAAATAAAAGACAAAGCCCTGGAACTGCTCAGAGAATCTAAAGAGGCAAAGTAACAAAAAAGGGATGATGTAGAAAGAAAAGAAAAAGATTACCTGAGCTCTGCAATTAAACTGAGATTTAGAGGGGGAAATTCAAAGTAGCAAAGATATGAGACTCCGAAAATGGTGAAGGCAGAGAAATCATATGTGGATTTTTCCTTTCCTTCACTGGATGAGTAGATGCACTTACAGAGGCAGAATTCTTCTTTTTTTATCTTTTAAACTTCTGTCACCTTTGCCTTCGGAGTATGTGTTTTAGGAGCAACTCTAGCTTACCTTACAAGCGCCATTAACACAGATTCCATGCATGATTAATGAATGCAGAAATCATAGGCAAAGCTCATTTAAGGAAGTGATAGATTCTCAATCAGAGTACTCCTTAAGTAAACATCCCATTCATTCAAGCAGATGCTTAAGATTCCAATAGCAAGCTCCAGAAATCATTTGTACAGCCAAAGAAACTGGTACACTTCAATCCAACCACACCCAAAGCCATCATCATGTTTATGACTGCCTCATCCATCTCATCTACCTTTAATTGCTAACTCCAAATTCCTGCTATTTATATTGCACACTGTGCAGAAAATGAGGGACAAACCAACCAGTCAGCTAATGTTCCGTAAACCAATATATTTGACCCTTTAATAGAGTTTAAAGCAAAAACATGTAAACAAGATTCTTCAGACCTCCAAAATGACTTACATAAGTAGTCCTAATCATACAAGTAATAACTTCTGGGTGCTGGCACACATGTAACCAGAATTACAGAAAGCGGCAACATAAAGATTGCCATGAGTTTAATAACTTCCATATTTCATTTTCCATAAGTCTAACAAATCTAGTCAAAAAGCCTGTAATTAACAACAGAAAATAGGAAGAAACACATAAACAGCTCCATAAAAATGATCCTTTGCCACTTCATTTCCAATTCCATTTCAAAAAATGATAGCAAACATAAATTCAAAACGTGACCAGAACTCAAAACAACTCAAAAAATTCGCACACTCTTTATTTCAAAACAAGCTTTAACTACCTTCATTTCCGCTCTCCAAATCGCCAACCCGAACCTTCCCAACCCTCTCATTCACCGGTAAAACGCACCAATTCGGCGACTGCACAGCTCTCAACCACTTAAAATCATCCACATTCCCCCAATTTCCTGTCTCCTCACTCAACCCTGCCTTCTCTAAGTCCATCTCAATCCCTTCATAATCCAAACAATACGGGGCAAATCTCACAACATTGCTGTCTTCAATTATAGGCCTACTCCTCACTCTCAAATAGAAATCACTCCCTTTCGCCAAATGAATCCTTATCTGATGCGAAGCCAATACAAAGACACACCGTTCCACTTCCTCTATCAAAATCGACCCGATTACCGGCCCCAAATAAACCTTGCAATCCTTCAATCTGTTCATAAAAACCGCATTGCAGCAGCCAATTAATCTCACTTCGCAGGAATCCAGATCGGATAGCGTAAATTCCCCAACTTCCGTTCCCTTGAACTTCTGAATTAGGGTTACGTTTGTTTTATTTCTAAACCCTGGGGAATTGGGGATTTTGAAATTGGTCACTGAAACGGCGTCAGATTTTACGGGTTCAGGTTCTTTGGGGAGTTCTTTTTTTGTTGTGGCTTTGTTTTTGAAGGAGAATTTCCTTTTGGGGATCAATTCGGAGTTTAAAATCTCGAGATTTTGCTTCAAATCGGAGATGGTTTTGAGAGAAGTGCGAACCTCATAAGAAGGAAGGAAGTATGAGTTCTCCGCAACGAGTTTTTCGAGGTCCGAGATGGAGGAAGAGATATTGGCGAAATGAGTTTTGAGGCGAGAGGGATCGGATTGAGCAATGAGACGGGAGTCGGCGAGTTGGGAGTCGATGGATTGCTTGGATTCGGAGAAGCGGGAGAGGAAAGAGGACGTGGCCTCGGAGGAGTTGGTTGAGTCGGATCGGCGAGCGAGTGAGTTGTCTAAACGAGCGTGGTGGCGATTGGAGAGGCGATCGAGCATGGCTTGGTGCTTTTTCTGTAAGTCGGCATCGAGGTCCAGGTTTTTGGCTGGGAGATTTGGGTCTGGCCGTTCTTCTTCCATGGTGATTTTGAGGTTCTTTGCTTTTCTTTTTTCCTTTTTTCGGTTGCAAGCAAAGGTAAATCAGCTGGGACGCTAATGAAAAAAAAGGGCCGCAAGAGAGATCTGGTCGAAGAAAAACGACGCCGGTGTTCATTGTAAAAATTTCCCGCCTTGTGAGGGTGTTTATATAATGGAGAAAAAAAAGAAGGATTCCTATATAGTATTTATTTCCCACTATTAAAATGGATAGTTATTGTTTCTCAAATTGTAAATAATTCATAATTAGATATTATTGGAACAAAAAATTAAACATTATTAAAAAATAGTTAGGAATTTATTTTATTATAAGAAATTAGAAAATGAATACTGAAATACTTCTAAGACATTGTTATCCAAGCTCCTTTCACAAGCTTTGTTGATGAAGATTATAAAGTTTGGTTTAACAAACTCAATTCAATGTGTTAAAATGCAGATTTAATTACAATCAGAATTGGTATGGGAAGATTGAATTTGTCAAGCGCTCTTCCAAGAGAGAAAGTAATAAACAATCTCAGGTAAACCAAACATAAAGAGAATCCTATCAACAACTACAAAATACTATGCACAAAATGGTCTAAAATAGAATTTGCAACAATTTAAAGAGCCCTTCTTAAGCCATTAAAATGTGAAGTATTTGGGATGGCTCAAGCAGCAGATTTCTCAGCTTCTTCGGCTGCTTCTTCCTCTCGCAACTTTATCAAAGATGGGGGTGGTTTTACGACAATACTTTTCTTCCATTGCCGATCAAGCTTTCTTGACAATCGCTTGTTGATGCCCTCCTCAATCTCTCTTTCCCGTTTAACAGTAAGCATGCGAGCAATCTATCAAGAACACTTTCTTTATTACAATAATGGGTAATGTAAAGCTTAAATACACAGTAAAACTACCCTTAATCTTTACAAAGGGGATAAATAATATATGATCATCAATTATCTGCCTTCTTGTCTCTGTCGGTTTGCAATGTAACCAGAGAACTGGGACCACAGGATGTAAAATCCATGTATGTTGTCCTTAATTCAATTTAGTACATACATTGGCACCATGATGAATGATAGAGCAGTCAAACTTTATATAATATATGAAAAATGATCAGAATCAACCCCTTATAAATACCTTTAAAATAAGCATGCTAAAAGCACTTTTAACAATAAAAGAAATCCTCTAACAACCCTCTCTCCCACAACCAAGATATAAAGGGATAAACATGCAAACAAAGGGGAGTGTGCTCAAGTATAGTCAGGAGAAGCTTATATCGGCAATATCAGGTCTACAGCATGATTTCTCTTTCATCAGTAGACTTCAAACAATGAAATACATCCTGCCTACCACACACTCATTCTTAGCCATGCTTATTTGACTTCATTTTAGCCTCTATCCTCTTGCAACTGCCTTAAGTGAAACCAGATCATACCTAAATATGGCTACTACTTGTAAGTCAGCATAATTTAGTTTTGGGTAACATGAGGCTCAGGCAACCATTTCACATAGCTGTTATATTTCACCATGATATATTTTAAGGAGTTTGAAGGTTACCTTTATATGGTTTTGCTTTACCCTCAAGGTGCTCCCCATACAATGCAAAGGATTATAACACTAATGTAAATAATATTATATCAATAAAAGACCATGGCAAAGGGTGTCTTTCATTAAGTCCAAGTATTGCTTGTACAATGAACTTGAAAATTTATTGGAGAAGTGCCATATTATTTGCTAATCTCTGCTTCCACTCAATTTTTAGACATTGTTTTTACTACAAAAAGTCTGAGCCCAGACATAGCAAGAAAATGGAATAATCAAAATATCTGGCAAAGAAAACTGTCCATCAGCTGTATCTACCCAGTACACAATTGCACTGTACTATGGATCACTTCAAAAAGCAGTTGAATTTAACCATAATCCAAATAAAGCCACAAAATCTCAAACCACCGTTGATGACAATAACAACCAAATTTTCTCACCATACAGCATCAGCTAGATATACAGATAATATTACAACACGCCCCTATTTAAGACCATATCCTCAGCAAACTCAAGTAAAACTGAGGTCCTTTTATATGGTCCATCCCCGTCCTCTTTGGAGATCCTCTTATCACTTGACATTGGAATGACTCCAATTTGACAGAAAATAATAATTACAGAAAAAGTGGAAAACTAGCTAGAGGCAACATATTCATCAAGAACAAGCTACCAAAGCCATCACTTGTATAGCCCACCCCCTCACTTTTCCAACAACGTTTCACACGAAACATAGAACATTTCCTCCTTTCAGATGTTACGGTTTAACACCCCTTCTCTTGCAAAGCCCTATGTCCTAGTCTCCCTTCTTAATTTCATAAGAGAATGCGTGCCATTTGGCCATAACAACATTGGTTTCCTAAACAACTTAAGCAACAGAAAGCCCCCCAAATTTTGAGAGGACAAAAGAATAAAGAACCAACCAAATCTAAAAATAAAAAGGATGACGAACAAATACACACGCATACAGATGCAAATCCAAAATGCTAACCTTGTGATGGTTATGCTGCTGATAACACAAAGTTCACCATATCAAATCTTTGTATTAAGCTTCTTTGGTTCACAATTTGAAGGCAAATGCATTGCAATGACAACAGCACCCCATAAAATTTTTTGACTTTTTAATGATTGTAAGACAATTGTTGCTTATCAAATTAATCGAAATATAAGTATCATTCTCACTCGCATCTTCCAAACAAAGTTTAGATTTTTGGAAACTTGAATCACAATTAACATTGACATTTTTGTGTGCTTTTAGCAAAGTTCTCTAACTCCTAACGATAGAAACTTGTAACACTCTACTTCGATGGGAATTCAAAAATCCCATCATTTCCTTCTACCATGCCATAACATAAAACTATAGTAAAACACAGATTTTAATATCCCATTTCAAATCCAATGCCCAATTGCTTAAAAAAATAAATTTAAAAAAAAAAACAAATGGGGGTGGGAGGAATACCCTTTTGCGCATACGCCGAAACTCGCTAGACTGAAACTCATTACGAACCGATTTCTGAAGACGAAGCATGAAAAGCTCTCCTTTTAACTCAACCACTTCCTCGTTGATTGCCTCAGTCGTTTTGGCCCTTATTTCCTTCATTTCTTCTTCTCTCTTTGCCATCATCACCACAGACGAGGACGCTGATGGTTTTCGAAACGAGGTCGTTTGAGAAGGCAATGGTCGGGGACATAAGTGCTGTATTCGGACGCCATTGAAGGAAGTTTTGGGGATTGAAGATTTGGGTTTTGGAGGGAAAGTAACGGTTGTTGGGGAAGCAATTGAGAGGCTCAACATCTTTGCTTGTTTGGCTTCAGCTTTGTCTTCGTGTCTTGTTTCCCTGTGAGCTCGCTTCCTCTCGAGTTCTAGTGCTTCACTTGGGAATGTAGATAAGGCAATTTTTTTTTTCTTTTTTCAACCGTTTTTTCCATTAAAGAAATAGATAAGGCATTTTTCCATTTTAGCCTTTTTTTTACTTTATTTAAAACTATTATTTTATTAGATATATATAACGTAATTTATTTAAATTTAATATTAAAATATTAGTAAAATAATAATTTTATTATTTCAAATATAAACACAAATCCAAACCTTAACTCTCTAAATATCTGCAAGTACCAACTCAACCAACACTTTAAATTATTAAAATTTTATTTGATTGATATTTTTATTTGGATAATAATTGCTCAACATGAGATTTTAAAACATAGCAGCAATTCTCCTTTTTAATTTTAATGTTTGTTTCCCTCTCTCTTTTTATGCTTTTGATTTGGGTTGTTGTGCAAAGAATTTTCTTACTTGAAATTGAGTTTGTTACAATCTTTTTTTTCCTTTGGATATATAAGCATATAATTTGGAAACTCTACACATCCGTCTGCTAAGAAATATTAACAAATAAAAGAAAAAATAGTCAACTTTTCATTCAAAAAGTTTGAAAACAATTTCTAAACAAAATATACACTTTTAAATATCCTTTCCTAACCAAACCTACTGGTTTTCCTTTATAAAGATGTTATTTTAACCATTTTTATTGCTAATGTACGACTTGAATGCAGTAAGAGGGAGAAAATTTTAAAAAGGTAGGAAGAAAATTCAATGCTGATTCATAAAAATAAAGGGCGATAATGTGACCAGTCACCATCACTTAATGAGAGTCAACACGACATAAAAACTTGCCTGCCATTGCCATTTGCCACCGGCAAAGCAATAATGCTACTAGTTTTTTGCTTTGTATTTCTGGGGGATCTACAAAGCACTAATTAAATTAATTAATTCTGCTCGATTGCTGGAAATTTGCAACAAATGCATGCAATTTTCTCAGCTTTAATCTCATGGCACTTTGCTGTAATGTTATTATTATGATTAATTTTTGCTCGCAAATGTCCTAATGATATACAGATACTTGTTAAAAACAGCATTTAACATTAAATGATATATACTTGAATTCCAATTCAATCTTGTAGAGAAATTAATAATGGAAAAAGGATTATTCTTGCTAAATGCCTTAATCAGAAAAATATTATTATTTTTATTATTATTTAAAAAAGGAATGATGATACAAATGGAATTTAGGCTAGCTAACATATTTTATTATTTTTATTTTTAAAAAGAGTGCTATAACACATAGCATAGGTTTGGTATGAGATGACCATTCTATAAATCTATATTATTGGATTATTGTGTTTTTTTAATTAAAAATAAATAAATTCTATTTTTTAAATAACAGATCATGCATCTATTAATAAGTAAAATACATGGATGCTATTAAATTATTGTGTTAATAACTTAATATGGATGACATTCACAATTATGCATATATGAGATATAAATGTAAAAATGTGTACATCTATAGAATTATTTCATTTTAAAAAATGAGAGATTTAAATTTAATTTTTTTAAAAAAGTTTATATTTGTTATAAAATTAAATGTATAAGTGTATGATATTCTTCTTTATGTTATGAGAGGTATTGATTTTTAATTTTTAATAAGTTGCAAATAGTGATGAATGATAAGATTATGATGATGATCTTAAGAACTAATAAAACAAGCACTAATTAAATTCATGTTTGTTGAACAAGTCTTTGCAATTAATTTGTATGGTACAGTTAAGGTTGGACATATAAAGGTTCT